GATAAACACATTTTTAACGCATGTAAATTTTATACGGGTATTATTAGTGATGTATTTAATTATGGCAAAACACACTAGGGCTATCTGCCTAAGGGGAGGAATGCCTTCGTGGAGGACTTTCTAAGGGAAACTGGAAAAACTTATACACGTTACACATGGGAAAAACCACGAAAACACCCATGCAGCCAGCCCGTTCGCGGGATTCGAACCTCGGACCGAACTACCAGTGTTCAGCGACTTTACCGCTCGGCCGCTGGTGGGCCCACGGGTATTATTAATCAGCATTTATCGGAAAAAAATACAAAGAAAGTGAGTCGTTTAACCCATTAACCGCCAAAACTACAAGGAATGTTTCTTTTCTCATGAAAATAATAACAAATATTAAATTAAGCATTTATAACATAAATTTACACTGAAAATAAAAAAAAAATGTTCTTGCCTGTGAAAGACGCGAGTGTTGCGTTCGCGCAACGTCAGCGGAAGAAGACTACGGATGTTTAGTGAGTAGGATTGTACTCGTGTAATGTTTCTTTTGAGTGGAGCGCAGGATTACTTTTTATAAATCTACAAATCACTTTACTTCTAATTAATTTAATATTAAAATATACATTGTATTTCTTTTACAAATACAGATTATTTCAATTGAAAGATTCAAGCATGAAAAAGCTTGATTACAATCATGATGTAAAGCTACATTACATTACCTTTGCATCTATAAACAGTCTGGCTATGCTACTCTTTACAACAGTCTTTTGTTATCAACGGACATTACGATAAAATGTCTACCATCTCCATGCAATGGTTTTTGAATGCTGAATTTACTAGCTCTTCCGGTTGCTGATCTATTTCTGGCTAATTCTACACTCTCAATAGGAGTTTGCAAAAGAAATAATGCATTCTCGCGTCTGAAATCTAAGAGACTTTCCAGTAGTAAAAAGTGGGGATATTTAGTAAGTTTAGATACGGTCTCATCTCATATAATTTATCAGTATTGTCAATTTGACTATTGTCAAATGTAAATTCTTTTTCATATTCCTGTACTGCATATGTGATATCGATTCTCGTACAACAGGAACAGAAATGTCCTTATCAAAAGACCAATACATTTTTCTAATGAATAATATCCTGTAAGCAATAATATTCCAATAAATCTGCTCATACAGGCTTCGGATGTAATAAATTCTGGGCTTTTGTTTATTTTATTTTGCTGAGCGTATATATTTGTCTGTTCAACGAGAAGAGAGTAAATATCTAAACCAAAACAAAAATCGAAAATCTGTGCACTAGTTTTACCTTGTATTTTGTCTTTTATAATTTCTCTTCTATCTCTTTCTTCATGTTCTTCCTGACACATAACTAACAGTTCTTTTTTATCCACTTTCTGCAATTTCTTTGGGAACAAAAACAATATCAGTTTCATTCTGGTCATTATTAACATTATCATCATCTATTTCTTCATCAAAAATCATTGAAGGGCTTCTCCTAATGTAGATACCTCGTTCTAGGCATTTTTAAACAACCAGACCATGAACCAGAACATCGAAAGGAATGAGTGAAAAAGGAGATTGACCAAAGAATCTCTAAGGAGAAGAATGAAAGCTTCCATAGACGCAATGTAAACCTGTTTCGCCTCTGCGCCGCTGTATCGAAGAGCCACGGCTATGCAGTGAAACACCAGCGCAGGGTGAAATTTAAACAGCGCAGTTCGAGGAAACATAAAGTAAAAACAGTAAATTTTTTACTTTGAAATAAATCAAAATGTTTTATTTTCATCCATTTCTGGAGTTTTATGAACAAAAGGATGTTAGTTGGAATTTTGGGGCGAATTATAGAAATCCTGTCCAATTTTGGCTTTCAATTTAAACAGCAAGCCGTACGAAGACAAAATTTAAATGAAATAAATTTCTTAATTCTTTCCTTCTGTAAACTTAAAAAGGGGCAAAACACATGCCACACAAAACGTAATAAATTTTTATGGATCCATAGTTAAAATTTACAGTGAAATTTTAAATGCAAAATTTGCAATAACTAATTGAAACAGAAAAAAATATTTAAAGACAATTAAAGGCACCCCTAAATAAATTGAAACACTGACTGAAATACATTATAATTATCCGACAACAACTTTAAAAACAAATTACCATGAAAACGTTTAGACAATTATTTGGAATTACCATTGTGGAAACCAAGAGCAAAGTTTTCACCCAATAGCCAAAACCATTTCACTTACAGCATTACATTTAAAAAGTCTTTAAAAGAATTTCACATAGCTAAAACTAAGTACCTCTGACTACAACAACAAAGAACGTTTTCGAACAACGTGGTAAAAGATTGCTAACATGGCCGACGGCATGCTGCAATTTTTTATGCTGCTTTGTTGCCTCCTGATGTTATTTCGCACATGCGCAGTGAGGTACGGAGGGTGGATAGCTTTGGAATGGTTTGCCCCTTTAAAGTAAGCTTCAGGAATATACATAATGTGTCTCTTCGGTCTGACGGAGCCACATTTGCCCCGGGGAACCTTTACTTCTTCTCTTTAGAGATTCTTTGGATTGACTACCCGTTTCCTGCTGACGTTGCGTCAACGCAACACCTGTTTTCTTTTGCTTCCCAACACCTGACTGATGTATAAAACATCTGACTGATGTAATGTTCTGATAAACGGTGGCCTTGACTAAAAATAGATCACTCATAAAGACGGCGATTCTTTCGTTAAATATTTTCTGCAAAAATACCCGGTCGAAAATTTTACTTAAAGTATGAGATTAATTATTATAAACAAAATGATTGTTGAAGGTAAATATTTTTTACAGAAATATTCTTCATAATATTCCCTACACAAAATCATCTGCTGGTATAAAATATCTTAGGTAGTTATATTTATATACGCATTTATTTTGATCGTTGTGTCAACGCAACACCAGCGGCTAATGGGTTAAAGACTCTGTTAGCTGCTGTTAGGGAGGCATTCACAAGAATTACAAATCCTATGCATCGTAAAATTTCGCCCAGAAAATGTCCAGCATCGTTAAGTTTTGCGACAATTATGGCATTTACACCAGTCAGTGACTGAAGAGTTATACTGACTATAAACATATTATAAATGTTCATATAGCAAACGGAAGAAGTTTCTCGGACCATTCTATCCATTCAGCGTGATTATCTTAACAATCATATTTTTTCACTTATAATTTTTTACGGTGAAATTACCAGAATGTATATTCCCATTGTCTGTCGAATAATGTATTTGATAGTAATAAATTATTTATTATTTCATAAAGTTACAGCAACAAAGTAGACTATTCTTAGTGCTATATACCCCATTAACGTAGTTTAACACTTTTCATAAAACATAAAGTTAAAAAATTATAATTAAAGCACAAATGAGACAAAAATATCAATGCAGTGCGAGATAAACTAAATTTGTATTTTGTTTCTTGCTAATAATACATAATAATGTTATACGTATATATTAATGTGAAGCATAAAAGCGAAGGTGAAGATTAAATCTTCTTTTACCTATGTGCATCTTTAATGTGTCTTTACACATAAAAAATATCATGTTTCGTTTATGAGTTTCATATTTTTAAAACTTGTTTGCAAGTATTATCAGGCAAAAGCTTCCTTCATAAATTTTATTTCTACTATTTTAAATAGATAACTTGAAAAATATCTAAAAAAAAAAAAAACTACTATATTCTATAGAACTGATGCTTAACTGAATAAGGATATATATATATATATCTGTTCTTTCAAAACTATAAAAATTTTATTATTTTGATTTCATATCCTAAAGCGTGAAACATAAGGCACAATCCACCTCTCAATAACAATAAAAGATAGAAAAATAATGTCTAAAAATGTGTGAAATATGTCTCAAACTTCAGTGATGGATGGTATACTTTCAAAAGTTTTACAACTTTAATGCTAGTCCTGTTTATAATAATTCGGGGAATGGTGAGAATATATTGTTTTGATATCGTGAAATATTTCATGGCTAGTTATTTCGAAAGCTTTAAAATAGATTTATTTTAAACAAGTTTAAAAAAGTACTTTGAAATATATTCTCTTTTGTTTGATGTGGCTTGAGAATTTTTATAGAAATAAATAAAATTACTAGGTCAAAACTCATGCTCTCAGCGCAGCTCAGATTCCATTTTTCAGCTTTGAATATCTACCGGAACATATTTTAAGAAGATTATATAATTCTTTATGTGATTTCAATAGTTTTAACAATTTTATATACAGTATATTCCAGCGTACGTTTTTTTCTCTCTACCTTTTATTTTAGTAATTTTATGATTCGAAACTCGAGACGGAAAAATTTGACAAACAATCTAAGATTCGAAGGACGCAGTTGTAATAAGAACATAACAAATGAAAAGTAGTCATAGATAAGTTGCAAGTAACTATCAAAATATTATTTCTTTAAAAGAAGCCTATACTCTGATAAGAATATATAGTAATATTAACATTACAATATATAATAAGGTATCTACATTTCTACTTATTTATGACTTGAATCCCGTTCTTTTGTTGTCTTGATGAATTGCTTGCTTTTGTTGTCTTGGTGTTGTCTCAGGCCTCAGATCCTCCATAAATATTGAGAAAAGCTGAATATGCAGCCGACTCAGCGAAACTGTAGACTGAATTTTAGTTCGCTTTCGCTTCGCTGTGATGGGAAGTTCAATAGTTAAAAGTAAAAGTTTTGGCGTGACCTTTGCAGGTAGTTTTCTTGAGTTTGTCTTCGTTAGTAAGACAAAAATAATCGCTACGGGGAAAGATATGAATGGGTTGAGGAAGTGGAAGATTACTCGAATATTTATATAATTTTCAGAACGTGGAGCTCAAAAGATGGACGGGGAGGATGTTTCAGGAAATACGATAATTCATTTGCATTTATAGATGAAATTTAATGTAATTTATTAACTTTTTATCCTCCTTGAAATAATGATTGGAAAAATAACTCCCAACCTACTTTTTGTTTTTTTCTTTTTCAGCTTACTTGGAAGTTCTGCCAACCTAATATCTGGGTAAGGAAAGGCTGTCTGAAGGAAGAAATTGCTTTTATCTCTTAACAGTGAGAATCTCTGCCCGTGGAAATAATAATGTGCCTGGATAGTAACTGGAATATGTCTCATACTATTATCTTCAATATCCATCCCACCCATCTCATTTGGTATATTTCCTACATATGACGTCATGTGAAACTACTTTCTGTGAAGCTGAAAACATTAATATTTGCCTGTAGAAATTTAGAAGCATCTTCTAGTTCTTGTAAATTTTAATTGAACAAAAATATTTAAATGGATATTGTGAAATCCTCCTTCTTTCAAGTGATTAAAAGTTTCAGTGGTATATCTGTGAGTATATATTTATTATTAAACATGCATTTTTCAAGCAGCTAAGAATATTGCCTTTTTCCACATACATTTGAGTCTTCAAAATACATTCTCTAAATGCATGACAAATAGACAGTTTTCATAAATTCGATTATTAATACTACTTCTTCAATGCTTCATGTACTTTATTATGTTTGCAAGGCACAAAATGTTTGCTAAATCTATGGATTTTGTGATTAGTTTTTATATATGGAAGTACTTTGAGAAACAAATTCATATAAGATTAGTTGCCATATAAACTTAATTATTAATTAGAAGCAAATTTAAATCTTAATAAATCAAATTTCTTTATTGCATTTCCTTTTAAGGCTTTATGAGCTCTCCTCTCTTCATTTCATGTAAATCTGGACAAGCTGTCAATAAGAAACATGTTAACACGTATAGTGAGTTTAAATTTTCCCTCCTATTGTTCAAAAAGATAGCATAGCTAGAACGTTCTTGGTTTATGTGCTAAATGCCCAGTCAAGTGTAGCAATATTATATATTTCTAATTCTTCAGCTGTGATAGTAAAGACTCTCGCCGCTTTTGAGCCATTCTTCAAGCTATATGTGTGAGAGGATTTACTATAGGTATTTAATGGGCATAGATTTGTCATATTTTCAGGGAAAATGTCTTTTATCCACGACATCGCACGCCTCACAATATCGACTCATGGATCGGCGATCCTAGTCCAGAGATAACATGCCTCTCAACGACTTTTGCGAAGAAATCAATATCATAATTTACTGGATTCATACAGTATTTTGGAATGACCGCATAATCTAGACGAATAAGTAGGTGAGGGAAGGCATAGGAGACTGTAGTGACCAAAAATGCAGCTTATATTAGTGCATAGAATCATAATGCCTCGTGCTGCACACCACAGTTTCCGGCAGTTCTTTCTAAATATATTCCAAATATTATTTAGCGTACTTGGATGGCTTTTGTGGCTGCATATCATTTTTATATTCCTAACCTGTCTTTTAAAGGTTATGCAAAAGCTCCTTAAACAGCCTTTTATGGGCAACCGAGTGCTAGTGTTTGTGAAGCATATTAACGCTATAGCTTATAGAATCTTCGAGTATTCTCTGGGAGCAAGCACTTTTAAACTCTATATCGAAGGTTAAGTAGCGAATTCTCGCTATGTCTTTAAGAATAAATACTGCAGATGAAAGGTTTAAATAATCTTTTTTATTTAAATTTAAATTAAAACAGATACACGCACTTCGCGCTCACAAATCCCCACCGATTGTGGCTATGTAACAGAAAATAAGATTGTAACAATTCAGTGGTAAATTAAGATAATCTAATGACTGGCTCCTTAGCTTAACTAACGCTAAATCAATTTCACACATCAAAGCCGAGCCCATAAATATATATTTCAAAGTATATTTGAAACAACGAACTAGAGAGCTATTAAACTCGCAGCATAAACATCGGAACTAAGGCCGCTATTACTCTTTTGAGCTCCTGAAACGCAGCTTAAATGCTACTTCTGAAACACGTTTAAAATTTACATCTACGTCATACAAAATTTACATTTCGGCAGGAAAATGAAATCAGAAGGAACAAGAAATTCAAACTAAAAATAACTGGTTGGAATAAAGTGAAACCTTATAGACTATTTGAAAAGAATCATCATTAAAATGATTTCTGTTTTTGAATCTGAATCTTTTTCAAGATTCACTAAGTTTCTAATTTCCCTTTACTATCGAATTTCCTAACACTATTTAGTGTAGAATGATTTTTCTAGTTACATAAAAATAGTTGAACTAAATACGTAATATTGCTGAAATAGTAATATAAAAATTTAGTCGTTTATTAAATTTTACATCTATTCTAATTCTACACCTAAATAAGTTTCATCTATCTTCCTTCTGCTTAAATATTCACAACCATACTAAGACATGATCTAATTATTTACGCTTGGAACTTTAAAGGCAATTTAATTTACAGTGCAGTTGTCTATATTTATACTTAATTATGTTACCTAAATAAATATACTGAATTTAATTTAAATAAATAGACAAAATAAAACGATGGCAAGTATCACATTTATTTACATATTTAGATCTCTATGAAAAGGTTATTTGCAACTGATATTTGTGGCCACAATCACTGGGCACTCTAGTCGTGCCTTTCCACAGAAGATTTACATTTTTGATGTTGTTGAGATAGAAAGCAAGCCAGCGAAATTACATCTTAGCACAGTAGAGAGCAAAAGCTGAAGTACACAGTTATGCAAGATGGAAGCACGAGAAGAGAAAAGTTTTGGTTTACAAGGACAGTTTCAGTTCCCAATTATTACGTCATCAGAGCTGCGCCGATCATAGAGTGATCTAGAAATGACGCAATGCAGAGAAGTTATTACGATTTTAGAATAGAGAGGAAGAATTAATGTTTATAGTTATATTATAATTCTGATTCAGATTCATATATTTTATCTTACATATCCCCCTTCAAAAGAAAAAGGCGTAGTGACAGAGAAGCCTTTTTAAAGAGAAAGAGTTAAAGCACTAGCAAATGTAAAATAATAATAATAATAATAATAATAATAATAATAATAATAATAATAATAATAATAAATCATAAAATTTGTGTCCTGTATAATTTAAATATAAATAATCAATATTTTAAATAAAATTTTAATTTTTAGAGTCCTATTGAATTTTTCAACATTTCAGTTCAAAAGTCTTTTTGTTTGTTCAAAAAACAAAAGTTCACATAAACATAATTCTTCAGGGAAGGTTCTTGATATTCACAGAATATCACAAAAATAAACTTTTACATAATCATTACTTACTAATTAAATGTACATGCACATAAAAATTTATGATACTTAATTTCTCATATTGATAAATTACATTTTAACATCATATAATAATAGGATTAAGATTTTCAGGAAATTTATGGTTTCACCGTTATTCATCTTTCATTTACAATTCCTGTATTTTACCAAACTGGGAAGGCCTCGTAATACTTCTAAACAAACCATATCCATCAATAGGGCTGTCCTCTTGAGCTAACCAGAGTGTTCTCTGCACTGGTGGCCCAGAGTGCCTAGGCAGTTTACTTTGAAATGGCCTCCGTTCCTGGCCTTTGAGAACTGCACTATACTGAGAACTGCACTAATACATTCCATATTAAAAATATCATATAATAATAATATAAAAAATTACACACACACATAAAATGAGAGCCTCCAACATTATCTTACTTGAAGAGGGTGAAGGGAACAACTGTACAGAGGTAATTACAGGCTCTGCTTAGGAACCCGTACTCCCTCGACATACACTATACTTAACATACAATCCACCCATAAATTTAAACATGCATTTACCATAATTTTAATATTACCTATCTGTAATAATTTCACTTATTTTTTACACCTACTCTTCATTTTTAGAATAATTATAAAATTCGTTTTCAATATTCTCAACAACAAATTTCAAAAACATAAAAACTTATCTTAATATCCTTCCCTATGAATAATTTAAATAGCTTAAAAATTCGTTACTTAATTTTGCTCACACATAATTATGAAAAATTGAAAAATTACTGAACAAGAATTTCAGATTTTCTCAAAACAAATTGCAGAAATTTGTAATTAACCAAAGTTGAAATGAAAACTATAGAATTCCGCAGCACATTAAATAATTTAGTTTCTGAGCTAGATTCACACGAATGTAATAATTTTTGAGCTGTTGAAAAAGCAAAAGTGTAAATAATTTTCTGTCGCACATACTTGCAAACACTAACTCAGATCGATCTTGAACCCGCTGTAATGATTAATTCCGAAACAGTAAGTAATTCACTGATGATTTCCTTTTCACCAGGCATTCGAACTTCTCAATTTATCGAGAGATTACTTTCAATCTGTAAACTCTACGCGTGATTATTTTTGAAGCACTTGAAAAACACCACAGCAGAAGAATGATCTGTTATTTTTTAAACACTGAAAAAACAAATTTGATGATTCACTTCTTTCACATTATCTTGGATTTATCACAAAAAGATGATTTGAAGAGCTGAACTAAATTTTTCCATTGAGGTTTCAGGCTGCAGGAAACTATCCTACCGGCTTAATTGTCATAATAAAAGCAAAGGAAAAGACGGAACACTGTCGATGCGTGATTAGATCCATATTGAAGACGAATTTTGATTGTGTAGTATGCTAGTAATGCTAACTTGGTAATATCTAAAGAACTTGGCAGTCGAGGCAGTTTTAATTCCATTTTTATTTGCAACTGATATTTGTGGCCACAATCACTTGGCACTCTAGTCGTGCCTTTCCACAGAAGATTTACATTTTTGATATTGTTGAGATAGAAAGCAAGCCAGCAAAATTACATCATAGCACAGTAGAGAACTAAAGCTGAAGTGCGTAGTTATGCAAGATGGAAGCACGCGAAGAGAAAAGTTTTGGCTTACAAGGACAGTTTCAGTTCCCAATTATTACTTCATCAGAGCTGCGCGGGCCATAGAGTGATCTAGAAATGACGCAATGCAGAGAAGTTGTTACGATTTTAGAATAGAGAGGAAGAATTAATGTTTATAGTTATATTATAATTCTGATTCATATAATTTATTTCAATGCAGTAATGAGGAAATGTGATACTTTTATCAGCTTGCAGTTTCAGACAGGGCTGGGCGGAAAGGTATGATGACGCATTTAGCCCAAACTGAGCTCGAAGTATCACAATCTCTATTTTTAAGCATATCATATCATCCTTTTGTAAATAAGATATTTTAAAATCATATTTGAATACAATAACTTTTTATATACACAGGCTAACGGGGGGCGACATCATTCTAGACGAACAAACGGGGCAGCGGAGATATGTAAGCACTGGAGATATGTAACTAGGGAAAAGAATGAAGTGACGTAATTGCCTCACCCAATCAGTATTTATATTACATAGGTGCACGAAGTATTGCACAAGTTCTATCCAATATTTCACCCATATTCAATTTTAGCCGATTAAGTATAACAAAATAT